TCAAGAAAAACTAAAAATGTGCAAATTTCTTTTGACAGGTTGTTTGCAAAAAATTTGCAATTTCTTTTCGTAAAACTTGTGCAATCCGTTTCCTTATGTCAAAGGCTTTCCAAAAAGCTAAATTTTATCTTAATCTGACAAGTGGAAGTGGGTCAAAACAAAGATTTAGTTTGGTATAGGAAAAAGCAGTCATTCAAGCAGTGTACCTGAGGACTCAGGCAGTTAGTATTAAAGCCCGGTTTTAGGCCTAAAGCGAGGGCTTTGGGTATGTAGGAAAAGTTAGAAAATTTCAACAGCCTCAGACCAATACTTTTTGAGTTATGTAAAAAAACTATGGGGGGGGGGTCAACTTGACTCCCTCCCCAGCAGGAATAGGGTTAAGACGTTTATTGATTACAAATTCAAACAGACAGTCAAGCAATTAGTTTTTAACTTTGATAATTTACAAGGGCCTATATACAGAAAAAATTTGAACTGTAAAATCAAAACATTTGGCTTCTTAGATTCAGGCATAAAGTATAAGATACTATAAAGGTTCACATACAGTCCGATTATCTTGCAAGTATTACTTTATCCCTCCTTCAAACAAAAATAGCAGAAAAATATTGTTTCTAAAAAATCGACATTTTACCATACTGTTATTTTAGTGATAATTAGTATTTAAACAAGAGATCGTAAAACACATTTTTGAAATGAAAAACTCAAATTAAACTTGAATTCTATGAGATGAAAAAAATAGACTGTTATGTTAGTAATAATTAGTATTTAAACAAGAGATCGTAAAACACATTTTTGAAATGAAAAACTCAAATTAAACTTGAATTCTATGAGATAAAAAAATAGACTGTTATGTTAGTAATAATTAGTATTTAAACAAGAGATCGTAAAACACATTTTTGAAATGAAAAACTCAAATTAACCTTGAATTCTAAGAGATGAAAAAATAGACAAAGGTCCAGAAAATAATTATGTGAAATGAAGTAGGAGTTCAAACAATTGTAATCTATATAATAAAGCTATTCGTTCATCATTTATATGTTTGCTATGTTTCTGGCCAAACAACTGAATCAAATGGGCTTAATTTTAATAGAGATTTTTTTTGTCCCCAGGACATGATCGGGTTGTTACGATCAAATCTCGGAATTTTTTCTATTGCGTAAGTTTGGTGTTGTCTGGGTCTTTATATTTAACTACCAGAGGTTGTAATCTGGCAGCACATTCATCCATCCACGCTTCATTCATTCTGAGAAGAGGGTTGACAAGATTCCAGCTGCCTAAGATTCTTCTTAGGCCTTGCACAAAGAGAACATGTTCACAATTAATTTAGAAGCGCCCTATAAGGCTAGTTTAAAATAAAAAACTTTGGTTCCTGGATACACATTGACGGTTTCTATATATATACTTAGCTTTTCTGTTTGTTTGGGTGTTTGTCTGTTTGTGTCCAATAAACGTCAAAATGGCTCAACCGATCAAG